TAAAATCTGGTCATAGGGCCTCAGTGTAGGCTGGAAAGTAACTAAGAGTCACCAATAGGCCAAAGCCTGTCAGCAAGGGATGCAAATAAGCCCTTGTGTAGAAACTGCCACAGCTCTCTCTCTCTCACACACACACACACACACTGCAAGGGTGGGAAAGGGCACTTTGAGAGGCCATAGAGCAATTGAACACACATTACAGTGGTAGGAATAGGATTCTTCCGTATTAATTTTTGGCCAATGAGACCTATAACCCCTAAATAGTACAGGCCATTGCCACTGCTGTTGACTGCCCACCAAGCCTGGACGGTAAGGCCATACTGTTGAAGACGCTACCTGCAATGCAGAATGTAAAAAGGAAACCAAGCTGGAACTGAGTTGGAAGCTTTCTCCCTACTGACTAATTTGCATAGTGCCTTTCAGATTGCCTTACGAATATTTATTTTTATGCCCATAAATTACGGGGGTTGTCACCTTTGGTCCGAGAAACCTCTTACAGTGGGCAGGGATGACCACAGAGTCTTGTGACTGGCCCAAGTCCTGAGAATAAGTGACTTGGATGCTTGGCCCCAGGTGAGGCAGCTATATTGTGTGTAAGTCTCGGAACATTGCGGAAGGGGATGAACATGATGTAGGAACTGGAGGAGAGGGTGGGGTGTCGTGAATGCTGCTCTCTGGGCCTGTCATGTCTTTTGTGGTTTTGAACTCTAAGCCATTGTGATTACCCTCGGGGAGACCTGCACAAGAGGGGCCCATTAACTTCCTGTCACGGGCAAGGAGAAGCCCACAGGCACCTCCCTACCGTAGGATTTTTAGAGAGCTAATGGTTACTAGAAGAAAGTGATTCACATGCCACCTCTTCCCTGAGGATTTATAGGCAGATAATGGTCGCTTGGGGTGGGCTGGTCACAAAGCCCCACTGCCCTAGCAGTTAACAGGCTCCCAGACTCCCTTAGGTGTGTTGACCGTAACAGTTTCTGGGGAAGGGTCTCGCCAGAGAATGTATACAGTTAATGGTTGCTCTGAGAGGCTCACAAGGTCATGCCCCTTCCTGATGACACTTAATGCTGGGAGCCGATTTGAGTGGCTGCCATTACAAGATGGCATTTGGCCCCGGCCTCGCTTGATACCATAATAAAGGTTGCAGTTCTTCCACCAGAAAACAGGATGAGTTGTTGTGATCTAGCTGCCCACACTTCCCCTGACCGGCAGGGGAACTTCCTTGTGGTCTGTAATTGACAGGGATGTTCCCCTGCTTTCTTTCCTGCCGGTGGGTCTCCAGAAAAGCAGTTAAAGTATCAAAGTATCAAAGGTTGCTAGGCAGACTCCCTATATAAGCAGCTACAGCTCAGAGCTCGGGGCCCCTTGCTTTCTGCTCTCCCTTCAACCAAGAGGCTCCAATAAAGCGTGATTTGAGAAGAATCCTCGTCTGGTGGCTGTTCTTTCCTGCTGGTCAGGGAGTTCGCCGCAACTTAAGAGTTGGAGATTCTTCCTTCAGTGATACCCATGCTTCTGTAAGTAACCCTAATTAGACACATTGCTTCACCAAGCTACACTTGAATGAACTCATTTGTTTCTGTCTCTGAGGTCCTATCCGAGGTGAGATATTTGTTCCTGTCTTCTCAGGAAAGTTCACACAACGGTGGCTTTTTAAGAAACCCCATCTGTTCTCCTTGGTTCCCCTATAAATTTCTACCACTAGGCATCTCTCATTTCTTAATTTTAGTTTTTGTTCTATATTTCAACTTTTCCTGTCCTTAAATGAACTCAGTCCCAAGATCAGCCTCTCATTTTAGATAGCAGAGTGTCTTCTGTCCCTTCTTGTGGCAGGCCTGACTGAGAATAGAGCTGCAGATATGATATACATACAATCCAGCTGTTCTTGCCTCACGGGCCTTACAGGCTGGTGAGAAGCCACTGGAAGTGCAGCAGGTAGCACTCAGCCTGTGTGCAAGTTACAATGCATGGTAAGTGCTGGGGAGGGGGAACTGAGGTGCTCTGAGAATGGCAGGAACACTTTAGAAAGCCTTCTGCCACTGAGCTACATTCCCAGCCCTTGTTTTGTAAAGCAGGGTTTGTGTCCACCAGGCTAGCCTGACACTTACAGTCCTCTGAGCTCTGGGATAACATGCATGCACCACTATGTGGAGGCAGAAAGCCTCTCTAAAGACAGATAGTGATGTTACCACCTAGTGGATGGATAGACATCTGTGTGAAGACAGGCATCGAAGTGTTCCACCTTGACAGGAATGCCAGCAGCAGGTCCAGGCCAGGCATGTGGGATGAGCATCCACCCATCTTCCAGCCTTTGCAGTGGGGAGGGCTGCAGAGCAGCAGGTGCCTGCGGTGACAACTGCTGCTCCTATGCCTGCATCTGTGCTGCTTCGCAGCTTTTCAATCTGGTTAGCGTTTTTTCTGTCCCCGGGAAGTCAGCAGCAGCGCTTTATCAGTGCAAGCTTGCCAACCCGCGTCCTCCCTCTGCCTGCCTGTTTGGATATCTAAGCGTGCAGAAAGGGGAGGCCCACTGGAGTCCTTTCCCGGCTATCTAGTTCCCACTATTTTGGATAACTTGCTAATGCCCCAAATTGACAAAGAAGAGCTACCGTGTTGGGAAATTGAAGTAGAGACTAAAGAATACCATCTTTTTACTTTCTGTTGGGTTATCTTTCTCAGGATCCCCCCTTTCATTGCTGATTACCCTTTAACTGACCAGTGGGGTTTGGTCCCCACATAGGTGACAAAATTATTCAATTTGTTCCCAAATGTATCTCATATTTTGGACCCCTTTGCCATTTTTTTTTCTGAGAACTCCACTAATCAGGGCAACACTTTATACATTGCAAAATCAAGACACTTAGAAATCCAGCGGGCAGCTCTGGTTGCTAAAATGCAATACACACTCAAATGCACTATGCATTACAAGACACGGGCAAAAAAGGCCTATCCTGCTGCTGCTGGAGGGAAATTCTGGGACGTGGGTGCATCCTCTGAAGACGGGTTGGCTCAGCATTTCTATGGCAGCCCTGAGAGCTTCTCCTCTCAGGAGCAGAGCCCACGAGAGATGAGTTTTTCAGAGATGATCCTGTGGCAAGTTTGGCTCATCCTTCATGAGAAATAAGCTGGCCTCACCCAAGCTTCTGTTGGCTCATCACAAGAAGCGTTTTCCAACTCAAATTTTGATCTCGTTCAAACTGTTTTCAAAAACCTGAAAATCCAATTCAAAGTTTTTAAAAATAGTGTTTTCTAAGATTTTAGTAAAATCTACTCTATAGTTTTCATAATGAGTGAATAACTTAGTTTCTTCTGTTGCCAGGGTTTAAAAAGTAAAAGCAAACACTGACTAAAGCCACTGGTAGGGTTGAGAATGGCAGAGTTGAACACATCCATCCTCTCAGAGGTCAGCACGGCTACATTTAAATCTACTGAAAAATTCCTACTTGGATCTCTTTTTGAAACTAAAAGTTCACTTGTTGCCTGCTGTACCAGAAGCAGCTGTACAAAGAAGTGTGAGTCTGCTACTGCTATACCCTCTGCACACAACACTTTACAGTTAGTATTCTGTTCTCTCTGTCCTTGATCATGCTATACTTAGGGTGTTTCATGTCCCGCAGAGGCCCACGTGTTACAGGTTTGGTCCCCCAGAATGGCTGCTTCTGGAAGGGGGTGAGATCTTTGTTAGAGGTGGCCCAAAGGAAGAAAACTTGCCCTCCAGAGCCCTAGAGGCTAAACATTGGTCTGTATGTGTGTAAGACAAAATAGGGCCTGGGAGAGACCAGGGTGTCCCAGCAACTGTCCAGCCAACCAGAGAGTTTATCTATTGACAGCCCTTACAACTGAACAGCAGGCACCAAAAGCCTTAGGATGCTCATAAAAGGAAACCTAAGCTCAGCTTTGATGCAGCGGTTTGGGGGAAGAGTGTGCTACTCAGCCAAGGATTGCAGGAGAGACGCTGGATCCGAGAGTGCAATAGTGAACACAGTTTTGTGCTGCTGGAATTTCCAACTGCAGTATCTCTGGTCTTTCTCACTCGAACAGCCTCTGTGCTGTGAGCATTGCTGGCTAAATCATTGCGTCATAGTTTAATTCTGGGACCCAAGGGGACTCCTCAGAGCTATAAAGACTATCGGAGTGATTTTCTGCCCCAGCGGGCCTTTCTGGCCTCATGGGGCAGCTCCACGTCGCCAAGGTGCACCTTTGCCCTGCCTACAGTGGGAAACGTGAGCTAGATCTGTGAAAATCTGAGGTACCCTGTCCAGTGTCACTCACAGGAAATGGTCGCTGAAGGTGGATGGGAGGAAGATTTTCAAGAAATCTCCCTGTCAAAGGTGTTTATAGACAGAAGTAACACGGCCTCCTTCTGTTTGCATCTTAGTAACTCTGCTCGAAATGTTTTCCGGGCTTCTGTCTTCAGAGGGCTTTGTGTCATTTTATGAGAGTTGGAAAAGGGACGTGACTGAAGTCGCTTCTCCCTCAAGGAAGAGGAGTATGGTAATTCATCGGTTTACAATGAGAATCACAAGACACAATTCCATTAGGACGAGGCCTGGCCAGCCACGACCGTCTCACCGCTGGGAGCCGCCAGGATTCCCCGCGGCAGCCAGCAGCGCCCTGCTGTCCACTTGCACTCCAGTGGCTGGCTGGGAGGCAGCTGCTCTGCCCAGCCCCGTCGCGTGGCGGTCTTGCCCACGTTGCTTAGCGACGTCGGCTTAAGGACGGTGCGCATTTCCAGGTGTTCGGCTTCTGCGCTCGCAGCGCCCACCTTCCTCGGCGTGAGGCTCCCCGAGTGTCCCCAGGTGAAGTATCCTGAGCTGGCCGTCCCCACTCTACACGCGGGTATCTGCCCCGGAGCCATGAACTCTTCCGGATGCGCGCGCCCCGGGAGGGCGGGTCTCGGGGGGGGGGGGGGGGCAAGGGGCTAGGGGGCGCGGAGCCCGGCGCGGGAGCCCCAGTGACGCACCAGTGACGTCGGCGGCGGCGGGCGGGATTTCCCGGCCCCTCCCGGCGCGGGAGGAGACCTGCTGCGGAGTGGGTGCGCGAGAGTGGGTGCGGCCACTGTGGCGCAGCAGGCTAGGGTTGGGGGTCACCGCCTTGCACCCCCTGGGCCCGCTGCACAGACCCGGAAGCCCCGCGAGCGGGTGGCTTTGCTGTGACTTGGGCGCCGCGCCGCGCCCCCTTCCTCCCCAGAAGCGCACAATCTTCTGTGGCCCGGGGACCCCGCGGGCGGCCACGCGGGACGCGTTTGCACCTAGCCCGAGGCGCGCGATGCCAATTGGCCTGGCCGCCCCCCTCGAGCGCCGCGCCGGGGACTCAGCCCGCGTCTGAGCGGCACCGGCTGCGCGCTAGCTGCGGTAAGTGGCGTCCGAGCCCTCGGGAGGGCGCGGCGCCTCGTCGGAGAACCTCGGCCCAGGCCCCTCCAGCTCTGTGAGAGCCGGGCCGAAATCCAAAGTCTCGGAACTAGAGAGACATTCTGGCTCCTGGGTCTTCCCTGGAGGTGCCGCGACACGCGACACAAGGACCTGTGGTTCCGTGTGGCGGGGGCCCGAAAGGTGCACCACCGCGGGGGGTCACAGCCGAATCCCCGGGGTCGCGGTGGGCCGAGCCTCCTAGAGGACCCTCCTGCATCCTCAGGGCATAGAGTAATTGCTGTCCTCTGGACAAGGGACGTCCCCAGTGCAGAGGACCATATAGGATAGATGGCGTGACCACTCGTCATTTTGTTTGAAGCAGTGTTTTTGGCGGGGGTTCGCAGAAGCCCTTTGCTTTCCTGACGCCAGGACACCTACCTCGGGTAGAGGGTGACTCGGGCCAATTTGTGCCCTCCCTCCTGATGGCGACTGTCCCCGAAGCTGGTGCTGAAACGCGAAGCTGAGCTCGCGGGGCCATAGCCTTAGGAGAGCAAGCTTTGCTTTAATTTTTAGTCTCCTGGGAAATAATGAGGCGAGATGCCAGTTATGGCTGCAAAAGACGCCTTCGTTTAGACGAATCTGCTTCTTGTCGTGTATTTTGAGCTAAGATGCGAGGCTACCTCCAAATGTGCAAAGTTTGATCGAGTGATAGATAAATCCTGTCTGGTCCCACAGTTCCCGGGGCTGTAAAAGGCTGGCAGCAGGCTGGCTAGTCTCAACCAGAACAAGCTTGCGAGGCTGTGTCGGGGTGCCAGTGAAAAGGCGTCACTCCTGCCTCCACAGCGAGGTGTGATGGCCCCCACGGCTGCGGCAAGGCACCCGGGCTGTGCGCAAGCTAGCTAGGTCTTCATTCCTGGAGCACCCCGGCCTTTTTCCTCGTGTTGGCTTGCGAGGAGGAAGGCAGCTGCTTCCTCCTGTGGTTCTGTCACCTGGGAGAGACCACTGTGGGAGGCACCTGGAGCTTTCAGTCCTGAGAAACAAAGCAGGCTGCTTGTAAGCTGAACTTGGGGTTGGTGGATTTCTCAGGCCTGCTGAGGGGCCTTACTGAGAGTGCAGGGCCTACTGGGGGTGCACTGGCATCCAAGGGACCCTGAGGCAGACCATGCAAACCCTCCCGCCCCAATCCTTATGAAGCCTAGGGAGGAAGCAATGGAGACTCTTGCACAGGAAACTGCTCTGGGAAGGAAGGGCCATCCCCACCAACCCGTGCCTGTTTGGCCAGCTGCCTTTACCTTTTTCATGGTGATCTGTAAGGGAGCTTTCCCCCATTCGTTTCATAGTGTTTAAGAATGGCCGTCCCCAGAGCTTCCAAATCTCAAATGCTCTTGAACATTGTGGAACATCAGCTGGGTACAGGGCCCTTGCCTTTGTCCTGTCTCAGGAGCACAGGACACCTGGGACCAAGTGGCTGTGAGCATCCACCCACCCACAGCACACTCACACCGTGCACACCCGCACCTAGGGGGAAGACAGCCAAATGGTTGGCCAAAGTCTGCGTCTGCTCACTGCCTTATCCCACGGTCTCCTCCTTAGTGTGTCTCACTTTATTCTGTTTGACAAGGGGAGGGTGTGGTATATTAGAAGTTGCTTTAGGGACGGATTGGAAGCAATGTCTGATTTTTTTTTTTAAATCTACATTCTCCTATCCAATCTTGCTGATTTCTTCTTTTTTTCTTTCCAGCAAATTCTATCATTGAGACTTTTAGTATTCAGGTCCCAGTTATTCATTCAGTTTCCTTAAACCAAAAACTGAAACTTCTTGAATTCTACAAAATCATCAAGACTGGATAGTGAATACATTTCCACTGACAGTCAGAGAAACCATGTAAGAGCCAAAGTAGGGAGGCAGGGGAACAAGCAGAGGACCCTGCTATGAGAAGGTTTTAAATGGCTGCCTAAGAAACTAAGAATAAGAATCCAGAGGGGAAAACACAAAGGAGACTTCCACACGGGGAACAGGACAGAGGCAAGAAAACCTGCTGAAGGATTCATGCAGGGAAATCAGAACACTTGTAAAGAGATCGGTGCTCCGAGCTGTGGAGCCGCGGTGGCAGCCTCGCTGCCCGTCCCTGGCGGAGGGGCCTGTGCGGAAGTGGTGCTGCTTGCCTCGCTGCCCCCAGCAGTGAGGACACAGAAGTAGTAATGGGGACACTGTACATCCTGTGGCCTTGAGGTCTTGGGATGTCTACAGGCAGATCTACAAAGGCTGAGCCTCTTGGGGGCAGATAGGGTGGCCGGAGTCCTGATGAGCAGGCCCGGGGCTGGGAAGCAGTGCTTACGGGGGCGTGGGCTGCACAGGTGATGAGGGTGGCCTCTGTTGATCCTCCTGTGGCAATGAGAGGGTTGGGGTTTTGCAAAGCATCCTGATAATTGGGAAGTGTCCCGGCAGTGCGCTTGTGGGTGGTGGGGACTTCAGCAAGGGAGAGACGTGTGTGGAGATGAAAGTGAACGCGACATGGGAGAGAAGGGTGAGTGCCTGAGGCCAGATGCGGCTCTTTCCAAAGGCGAGCACATGTCCTTTCTCCTCAGAGTTCTTCCTAAGGGGCTGGGTCAGCTCTCCTTTGGAGATGTACACTGAAGAGGTCCCTAGGGATAGGAGAAACGCTTTCATTGTCACTTGAAGTCTGAGGAACTGCATCTCCCCAACACATGGGCATTCAGTGCCCATGAGCTTTTTAACTGTCCCTGACGGCTTTTGCGCTCCTCTCCTTCCCTCCTGGTGTTGTGTCTGAGGCACAGCTTCAAATCCATTTCTTCAACCCCTCCAGGCTGTCCAAATAGGATGTCCAAACAGGAGAATCAGGCTTAGAAAACTGGAAAGAATGACGGATCCGCAAAGGACACAAAGCTGGGGTTGACAGTGAACCAGCTGTTACCAGCAGCTCCGCGAAGGCTAGGACAGAATTCACAGGGGGGATTTGCTGTGTAGGGTCTGTCTCTACAAGGGTCAGGCTCTTGGAGGCAGACGCAATGTGGACACAGGCTTCGCCAGTCCCTTTATAGTACCACAGCATGGACCACTCTGCGTGAGGCTCATGCCCCCAAAGTGACCGGTACACCCCTAAGAAAGAGTTGTGTATCTCTTCTGCCCACTACTGCTGGGGGCTTCTGGTAGCCCAGGACCCTCATGCACTGGCCATCTGGGCCTTGCATATCGCTTTCTTACTTGTGGACAGTTGGACATGCCCAGTCTTTGTGTCCACTATAGGGTCTCTCCGACCCAACTGAGAAGCTATTTGTCCTGCCTTGGCCTGCCTGCGGGTCATTGGTGGCTGAGAGCTTCCAGCATGCCCTTTCTGTGGCCCATAACCTGTGGCATGTGAAGGGAAAATAAGTTGGTACCATTCAGTTCTGTTCAACTGCATTAGGGAAGTTCTCTCCTCTCTGTACCCAGCTCACTCGCCCCAGCCGTTGGGTGTGTATCCACTGCTATACCCATAGCATCTGTCTAAAGGGGCAGCCTGCGGCCAAGCAATAGAGCCAAGTCCTATAAGCATGTTTGGTGCCCCTTGAGGGCAAGAACGTTGCTCAGTAGAGAGTGACCAGCTCTCTGACCCTCCCGGCCTGTGGTGGAGGCAGAGCTTGGCTGAGAAGGGTGCCAGTGAGCTGTGGGTGCGGCATCCCATCCCTTAACTGACCCCAAGAGAAGAAACAAAGGAAAGATGACGTCCTCTGAACTCTTCCAGGGGCAGGGGAAGGCGTAGGTTTGTGAACATACTTCCTCTTCAGTTGAGTTTTACCTGAAGTGGGGATACTGGCATCTTCTGGAGGCCTCCCTCCCACCACGACCTCCCCTGTAGCAATGCCGCACATCACTCCTTGCTCCCCTTCCTACCTAGTGTCTTTTGTGTCTCTTTTAGGCCAGTCCTTTCTGCATACCCTCAATGCACACCCCAGCGAGCGTGCGCAGTCTCCACTCGGCTATGCCCTAGGAGTTCCTAGGGTTCCTAGGGTTCACCGTTCTCCTGCCCTGGGGAGTACACCTGTGGCTGCTGATGCTCTTAGATCTGTCCCCCTCCTCCCCCCCCCCACTCCTCATTCTGTGCAGCTCAGTTGGGATTTCTCGCTGTGTTTTCTCAGCCCAGGAGATACCGCAGGGAACAGACCGTGGGCAGGAGAAGGAAGCACAGAGCTCCTGCCCTCCGGATATGCGCTTCAGAGAGGGTTATTCTCAAGCAGTAGGGGCAGAGATCTCGCAAAGGAAATGATTCATCAGAGAAAATCCAGATCCTTTGAGCAGAAGTGTGTTTTTAGCAAATCAAATTCATAATACACTTCAAAGAAAGTGTAGAGCAGGCTACCCCAGGCGAGTGGAGGCCGACCCTGACGGGTGGAAGCTGCCCACTGGGTCCTGGTGTGGTAGACTTTTAGAGAGGTCTGTGTGCATTTGCATACTCCCAAACCGTGGAGGAGTGACGATTTTGTAGGCTAGTTCTTCCCATGATCTTCTTGAAAAGCCCATCAGGGGAGTCAGAGGTGTAAAGGAGTTCTGGCTGTGACATCTGTCACTATTAATCACTGGGGTTGATTTGGCTGATCTGGCTGGCTAGGTGGGTGTCCCTGCCTCCCTCCTGAAGCTATACACTTGGTAGGTGACGAGGACAGCCTTTCCCAGTGTAGGAGGACGACCTTCCGCCATAGAGGAGAACTGTCCCTGGTCAAAGGTAGCTGCACTCCCCTGCTAGAACCTCCAGACAAGCTCTCAAAGGTGTGAAAACCGCTGTGCAAATGATTGTGTAATGAAGCTAAGGTCTCTTGTTAGTATACACATGGGAACTGGGAAAATGCCCTGCTGTCTTTGTTTCTGACACGCAGGGGAGAAGATCTTCAGCCTCCGGGATGTTGACCCATAGGCAGGTGCTCTAACCATAATGGGACACAGCTGGCTACTAAGACACAGCTGCCGGTGTTCTTGGTTTCCTTACACCTAACTCCCTGTTTAT